CAGTCTGCGGTCACAACAATCCGTAAAAAATGAAAAGGGAAAGGTATGCTGTACAGCATACACTATGCATCATTGAACGGCTTTTTTTTTAAATCAGGATGAGTGGATTCCTGGGGATCACGTTCATACCTGATGCAATCCATATTCTTCTACGGTTTCTTCAAGCCATTGTGTTAGGTTATGCGCTAAGGGCCAGAAACACTGGGTTTGACAGGAGGGTGTCAGTTACTGGCGTAACAAAATAATTTTGTTTCCTCAAAGTTATTCGGTTGGCTACGAATCGTTCTTGCTTCTGAAAATCTATTAACGAATATAATTGATCAAGATTCAGTAAACCCGAATTTTCCTGCGAGAACCTTTGAATATTGACTGTTTTGGTTTTCATATACATTACAGCAGAAAGAGGGGGAGGTGACGTTTCATCAGTTGGTTTAGTTATTTGTACTGTACTTTATTACAAATGTTAGTTCAATCAAAGGAGAGTTATACTGCATATATATCAAAGGATTTCTCTTCATTCCATCAGAAGTACACGAATTATTTGTTTCAGAAGCATTTTAAGTATGTATTCCCCATTTCCGATAAAATGCAAGTCTGAAATGTGCTAAAAATCATTAATCTCAATATAACAAATTTTTCTTTATAACAAATTTTTTCTTGGGTCCCTGGGAGTTCGTTGTAACGAGATTTTACTGTATAACGCGAAGTACTGTATTAATACATTGCTGCTGCTTAGATTGCGATAGGAATAAAATATTTCAAAATTTTCTCCAGATAATTAAGGATCCATTACATGTTCAATAAACCAGACGGATCACGAGTGTATCAAAACGATTGATCCTCCGTCTTGTTAGCCCTGCTGCGCCAGAGCATCAGGGCAAACATAAGGAAATATGTTGCCTTTTCATTAGTACGACAATGATAAATTCTTTATTTCTTCCGCCTGATCTTGGGTATGTTGCCTGAGAATTGCTTTGCGTAATACTTTGGCTTGCAGTATTTGCTTATGTCATTATCCCTTTACGCATGTGCGAGAATTTTTCTTTTACAGTCTCACGAATAAATATATACGCGAAGCAATTATATAATTCATTAATTTTTGTGCAGCCGGAAAATATCAACAGCATCGTAATTGAGCTAGGTTCTCTCCAGAAAGTTTCACGTCATATTCAAAGCTTTTCCGACTTTTCAAACTTGAACGAATATTTGCGCATAGCGTTCCATCCGATTGGTCCTCATAAAAATCAGCATAACGGAAAATTCGTTGTGCTGTATAGTGTCACTTGGAAATACGAATAATGAGTCCCGGTATCTAGAAAATACTATTTATATAAGGCGAGAATTTGTTGCACCCAGGTTTCTTGCAACGATATTCTCCTGTATGACATATGACGTTTATTTTTGGGTATTCTGGCACTCGCACTGGTCAAGAATGCTCAGAAAAGGATGTATACCCGTCAGCAAAAGTGCGTCCTTCTGGCGCACGATGATTCGCTGCATTATGACAGCCTGTGTCATTTGCCGACGTGAACGCGACGATCAATACCGACAGCGTCAGTCCCTCGTAACTTGGCGATGTCGTCCCGGAGTTGTCCATGTCGACGCGGCACGTCCCGACGATCGTCTTCCGCCGCCCTGAACAAATCCAGGCCACGTTAGTCTTTGCTAACTGTTGATGGAAAGAAGTCAGGACTATTAGTCACCGAGGAGTTCGACGACCCGAATGGAGAGTTTCAGATCGATGGTCGACAGTTCCTGGGTGAGAACGTCAAGAAACATTGTTGAGAAGGAAAATAGAACGGTTGGCCTTTCCCGTGACTGCCGTGAGCGACAGGGAATTTCCATGTTTCAGCCAAGTTCCCTTCTCCGTGTTTCGTTAGCTTCGTGAAGACCTTCGCCCTGGAATCTATAATTGGAGTTTTCTCTCCTTTTCTCCGCGATCTCCAATCTGTATATGTACTGTCGTTTCACGTGTTTGAAATTTTTTATATTGACAGAGAAAATCTAATCTTTGTGGTCTTATTCCAAATGGGTTCTGACTTCCCGTCGGGTTAATGACACGGAATCGGTGCTATTCCTCATGAACGCCCAGGATTTTACTCTCAAATGCTTTGAACTGCCGGAGAAATTTTCTCGAAGAACGAGTTGTTGAACTTATTGAAATAAAGCTGGACTTGCATGAGCATTGGAAAATTCAGTAGCGGAGACCAGAGCTTTTAATAACCTAGTGTTGCATAAGTTGTGGTGAGAAAATTAATTACCTCTCTGAAGGTACTGTACTGTACTTGAGGGACCACAAATGATTCCTTGAGCAGAGACCTTGGTAGAAGAGCTGACCACAGCACCTTGACAAATGTCGCGAATCGATCAGAATCGTCGTAAGGGTTCCTGTGTAATTTATTCGAATTCAAAGTCATATAAGTTCACTCAGTGATGTAATCCGCTTGTGTAAATAAAGCCAAGAACGCCCAAAACTAATAGCGCTGAAACTTGAAATTCATGATATCACGATGCGGCCTTTGTATTCAGTTTATGATCTCCGCAAAGGTCTCATGGAACATTTTTTTACTTAAACCCGTCATGTATCACCCTTCTGCGGTATTTCGCTTCGTGAAAATGTGCACAGAAAAAAATCGCGTTCATTTCGGAGCGAACCATTGGTAGGTCCCTCAAGTATTTTTTATAAGATCGTCCCTGTATTTCAACGAACAGCGATTAAATGACAGCGGATGTTCGAATTTTTCCTTTCTTCCGGAATGTGACCAGTTGCAGATGGCCAGGACTGAGATGTGACTTTTGACACAGCTAGAAATATTCTGCAATTTAGATGCTTGATAATCTATAGATTTTTGAATCTAGCATCTCTTGACCATTCTTTTGAAACCGCAAGAAAGATTTGAACCAGTCGGAGCTCTCTGAATTAAAAAAAATACAGTATGATGTTCAAGGTGAATTCAAAGGATGAGTTAAGTTCGAAGTTATGTTCTGTACGTAAAAAACAGTTACGGGTATGTTCCTCGGGTTCGGTTCTGGTCGTTGTTTGATGAAAGACGAATATTTCTTATACAATCACTCTGTTAGTGGCGGTGGGTTTCTTTTATTGGAGCAATAAAGGAGAGCAATAACCATATATTCGCAAGAAATGCTCGAGCTCCGTCACCCTTCCCTGCTGTTTTTGCATGCCATTCCTCCTCGTCACCTCTCAACAGCTGCAATGATGGCTCAGTGCATTACACTTGGAGGACGCCTATTCAGAAAACGAAACAAAACGACCTCGACGTTCACCGAACATGAAAAAGAACTTGAAAATGTCGTCTTTCTTTATGCAACGATCGGAACCATGCTACAAAAATGTTTCCGAAACTACGTTTCGGGTACATAACTCCGAAGAGAACTCCTACACGGTATTCTGTATACAAATTTATATTTTCAAAAAATAGGACGACAATAACGGGTCCTGTTTCTTGAAATAAATAAGAAGTTTCTACCTTTTTTAGGACATAAATTCCAGAATACCTGTTCAGTGAAATCTGTTGATTCTGTCTCATAACTGGTCATCAGCTCTTCTTCACATTGATGAGGAACGAGAAACCCGAGAATCCATTGTAATTTCATCATCGCGGTAAAAACCATCTTAAGAAAATAGTCACGGAACCAACAAGCAATTCTCCAAGTCCGGAAATGTTGATGTTCAAGTGTGGAGGAGCTGCTTAATTACTGCAGTACATGCTCGAATGAGCCCCCAAAAAAACCCTTATAGTTCCCTTCATTCCATGGAGAGCAGCTTTAAATAGAGACTGACCATCATTTACATTCTGCACACATCATTTATTTCTTCTTCGCGTATTGAGACGTTTCACTTGGAAATGTCCATCCTTGGTGGCTTTTTTCGCTCATGTGTTTGCAAATTTACTTAATTTGCAGTGAAAATTTCTGGACAAATTAGGCATAAATTGCAAGATTTACCTTCATCATGGTCAATTCGTGCCTAATCTTGTCTAATGATGCTTTTAAAACGTGACAATTAAATTGCAAGATTTCTGGTTGATATATCACCTGCAAAAGCTGCAGATTTCTGCAGTATCAAGTATGATGAAATAGTCTTTCTTCAAGGCCCATCAATGCTTTCAGAACAGCTTTATTGTACAGTAATGTAAATTAATTGTTGAATTTAGGTCTGCATGGGCAACCTCAACATCAGCACCTTCCAGAGAACTTCCAAAAATATTATTTTAAGCGAACAGAAAATCGCATTCAATCGAAGATTAAATTCGGTTCTTCAAAAAATTCCTGGCGTCCTCCATAACCATTCCCAAGAAGTTTGTGATACTTTGTAGATGCAGAAGATCTTGAAGTTGGAAGCATCCGACTTCTGCGCACAGATTGCGACAATGCAACCAGGACATGGTAGTTGTGCAAAACTTTTTCCCGAAATTAACTTTCCTCAGCCTAGAAAAGCGAAAGAGCCAGCAGTATAGCTCTGCTTCGAGAAAAAATGGAAGTAATTTTTCTGCGACCCTTTGAAAGGGCCATTAGCGACGAGTGACGACGCAGAGGAACGACGCTTTCGATGCTTGCCGGAAGAAAAGCGCTCGTGCAGAATTTCGAAAAGCCCGTGGAAAGGCTTTACGATGAAATGTTGCGGTGATTCTCGCAGTCATTCCGTCTTGCTCGAAAATTATTACTCATGTTGCAGCGTTGAATGTGCGCCTCTTCATAATTCACAATAAAACTACTGTAGTACACCTTTATTATGCGGATTATTGTATTTAAATGCCATGCAGTTCTATGACTTCTATGCTTTATCCGAAGACTTTCTCTGACTCGAAATCATCAAATCCAATCCGAGGATAACACCGAAGCTACACGCGCAATGCAAAGTGATTTTTTTTTAAATGCTGTATGAAGACTGTTATTCAAGAGTAATATTGCTGCGAAAACTTGCTTCCACGCACAAGCAGAATTCAGCCCACGAAATATCTGAAATAAATTCAAAATGCTTTTCAAAATTTCCATAAGAATTGTATTCTTTTCGTTTCAAATCAAAGCAACAAAATAACGCACGAGCTTCCCTCCCGAAGTTATCAACTGCTGAATGTGACAAAACCTTCCTCATCCGCGATCGAATAAGTGACGTAAATTTTTCAGAAACTCTTCATACCGCACGAAATTCAAAACCATGCTCACAAATGCTTTCAGATGCACCACGCGTAATTTATTTTCAAAGAACGAACTGAACGTGCGAAACTTGATACCAGCTCTTGGGATGGTATCAAGATGGATTGAATACAACTGTACTCATTTCCTTGCGAGCATGCAAAAATAAATTCAAAATCAAACAGAACAAAAGTTTGCATGCCGAACCCTTGGAAAGAAAAAAACGCATGCGAACAAATGGTTCAGTTTCGGAGGGCGATTATAGCGACACCTACATTCATACAGGCAAATTTCGGAAATAAACATTACAATTTTACTTTTAGAGATCTCGCTGCTCACATCCCAACAGCGTCACGCATAAAATAATCTTTCCTTCGTTTATTCTCTCGCATGAAATTGGACGGCGTGATTGTAAGAAATATTTGTGCTTAACAATGCAACAGATTCAACGCCAGGAATGCTCAAACAAAAATGCCTCTCTTACCTAAAACCATTCCATTGCAGAACACCCGATCGAAAAAAATATATTTGGAGGTACGGTATCGTAAACTTACAAACGATATCGTCCCCGAACAAACAAAAATGACTTCCAAATAATGGCAGTTTAATTAACCCCTCAGAAAAGCACAAAACCTGGTACAGTACACAGTACAATTATTCAAATTTCCCCAAAATTCAGGCCCCTTCAAATCATATTTTAAAGTTTTGAAGCTATCGGATCTCGATTCAAAAATCGCAGAAGACTATATTTTCATTCCATTTACAGTTTTTAATGATTTTATCGTCAACAATTGAGGACACTCAGGTTTTGCGTCAATTCGAAATTGATTCCGTGTGTCGTCTCGTCTCTTGTTCTGTTGCCTAACAGAGATATGGAAATCATTCCAAGAAAAATATAATATTTTGTAATGATAGCATAATAAAAACACAAGCAAACGTCAACATAGTTGACAGGAAGTCACCGGTGGCAATGAAAATGTCCCGACCATGCATGGCATAAATAACAGAGCTACTTACTCACGGAGCAGCTCATGCCCATGTCTGACACATTCACTAATATTAACCATTGATTATGGTCACGTCCCCTCGAAATTCATTCATCTTCAGCGGTTCACCGAAGTGACTAGAGACACGGGTACAACGTAAGAGTAGTATTTTGATCTCTTTTTTTTCTTACCCCTGCCGCTGATTTTCCTTTTCACAAAAATCTACCGGTGCTTTGGTAACAGTCGAAACAAAACTGAAAATTCCCGATCTTTTCGATTGCTGGATGACACCGTCTGATTGCTAGATATAATGACATACGGGCAGGAATCGTATCTCGAACCTGACTGTAAGTCAGCACCTCGAGGTATCACGCTCTTTTTCAAGTGAGGTTTCGTTAGTCGTTAGTTATACGAGTAATGCAAACCTATACTCTTCAAAATGACGTATTATCTCATGCACCAATAGAGTACCAACAAGATGACTAACACAAATTGCACCGCTTACGCTTTTGACTTCCTAAAGTGAATTGAGAACAGCTGTAATGAAAGAAACAAATTTAATTTTCTATGATCATTCTCATCTATATAGTCAAGACTATTCCTCGTCAAGTCTTCCTCAGTTTTACATTTCAAGTTCTTATTCGAGCTTCATGTTAAAATTAATTTCTTCAGTTCAAAATAACTGATACAAGGCTTAATTACTTAGATAATTAGAATTATCTAATTCGTTCTCATTGCAAGTAGATTGGCTCTCAGTCATTAGCATCTACCAGCAAGGGTACGAAGGGATATACACGATTTCATTCCAATGCAATTTTTTGCAACAAAAAAAAAACCTGTGATGCATTCTCACTGTTCATGGGTCTGTTGGGTGATTGAAGCACAGCGCTCGCCAGAAATCGTAAAAAAAGGAGCATTTGTACCCATCAACCGTCATCTCAAGACCTCCAGCATTGGACTGCTACTTCAAACTTCGTCGGAATACCCTGCAAGGTTGATCGTGAGCCCTGAAAGCGTCGAGGCCCAAATAGGACCGGTTGACTTGAGAGTATACGAAGTCTGCCAACGGCGGAATAGTTCAGGTTTGATCCCGGAATGGGGTAATGGAAGCGCACTTGAGGGACCGACTCACTCGGTCTCGTCATCACACCAGGGATCACGGGTTCGCGATTTGAAAAGAGACCCGCGGGTGACGCTCGTCGTCAATCTCGGGAACGTCGTCGATCCCGACTGAAGACTGACGAACCCGTGTCCGATGCCCCGAGGGTTCGCTGATGCTGCGCAAAATTCTATGCCTGGGACAGCTCGGACTGGCCTGGGGCTCCGGCTGCATGCGTTCGGCACTCTGGCCCGAGGCCAGATGAAACGCCGCTCGTTTCGCCTTCTGCTCAGACGCTTCTTCAGTCGTCAGGCCGCATTTCCAGATGCTGCTCTTGTGCGAGCAGCGCGAATAAGGGAAATGCGCCATGGAAGTGAGGCGATGCACTTGGCGAGCGATCGAATCCCTGGTGTCCGCGTGGAATGGAGACAGCGTCGTTGCTGATGCTTTCAAAGTTTTCTCCTTCACCTGGAAAATTTCAAGTTTTTTTTTAATCTCTTGCAAGATACCTGCATACAATATTCAAGAGCAAACTTCTTCAACCCAACATGGTCTGAAGACCAGCGCTGGTCCGCGTGGCATAAGCATTCCCTTTAGTACCACGTGGCCTTTTTTATATCAAGACTTGTCCAAAGAAAATGCGTGCACGTCATAATCAAGAAAAAGTGAGAAAAGTTTAAGAAAAAATCTAATACGCATCTTATTCAGGTACACGTGGTCCTGGAGCTCAGGTGGTGTCTTCAATTGTCTCACAGGAATTTCCCAAGTAAAGTACGTAGCAGATAATTCAAAACCATTATTTCATTTTTGATCGATGAAACCGAAAAAAATGCAGAATACGGATTTACAACGATGGTTGATAGTGAAGAATCGACATTGATTTTCAGATTCTTATTGAATCCAGAATATGATTCAACACCTGGCATGAGTAGGATTTCATTTGATCAGCTGATTTTTCACTAACCGGAGACCAATTATACCGTGTTACAGTTTCTAGTAAAATAAAGCTGCAACTATTACAGTATATCCTTCATTCCTTCGGGATTTTTATTATCGCAGCCAGCAAACAGTCATTGAAAATGTCTACTGAACTTCTTTAACCGTTCCACAAACCAAGTACCGCATATTTTTCCAGTTCGTGGTTACGAAAAAGGTTGAAAAACACTTTTTAGATTCTAAAATCTGGAGTGTGAAATACCTTTCTCTAATCCGTATGTTTTGAGATCAATATTCATACGAACCTCTTATAATCAGGTTGTATGGTTGGAAACCTGGCATAATACAACTTACGAGAGGAACTTTTGAATTATTTCTGAAGCACTTCAAAATGCTCCTTCAGACAAATGAGAACGATGCATTCTTCTTGAAATCATGATTAAGTAAATTTTTCAGGAATTATACGCAATCGCCCGAGCATGATGAACTTCACTTTTTGAGTGCAAGCATCAGTGACTTGGCAGAAATGTTAAGAATAATTTACCAATCATTTTATTATCCAAATGGCTGGCAGTCGAGTCGACATCAAATATAAAAACGTATCTTCTTTTTGTTTTATCCGAAAAGTTTATAATCGTTCGACTCTTAGTTTCCTTTAACATATTTCAACATGGTTATTTAGATCAGAATTAAGCTCATGTCCATTCGATGAATATAAGTCCACCTTGACATTTGAAATGACTTGCTTCATTGAGAGCAGAATCCAGGGCAATTCATTCAAGAAATATATAGATTATTCCTTCAATTAAAAAGTTCTTTCAATTTTCAGCTCCAGCAGCTTTAATAACCGAGTCCTGCACATAGAATCGCCGTCGGGTCTCAGAGTGTTGACGGTTTCAAGCATGGAAGACCCGAAATGTGGTTGTGCTCGGAAAGGTTTGAAAAATTTTATCTGAATCAAGATTTATAATTTACGCTGCTTAAAACATAAGTTTGGAGTCACTCCAACACATTTGCAGTCCTTAATGCAGGAAGATTGATTATATTGCTTGCGACATAGATACGCGAGAATCCGCCAGGCTATGCGAATGAAATTGATTCCTCTTCATCTTAATTTTTTATTGATCATTTCGATGTTTTCTCGCTTATATTCCGAATTTTTGCTTGAGCAAAGGAAAAATATATACTCCTAGGAAGGGTTCTCAATATAACGATAAAATGGCAACGTGATTTCATGCCCAACCGCCAGACTAAAATGAAGTCAATAACCGAGCTTTACAGTTAGAATACATATTCGTGACACAAACGAAGCAAGGTTCAAAAACTTTTGACCATGAACAGTTCTTAAAAAATATTTAGCCCCGGCTGTATGCTGATTTTTTTTTCAAGATGCTGAGATCAAAAGTGTCCAGTTAGACCAGATGTTTTCCAAGCCAAGTCGATCGTGAATTGCTCACAAGGACTTCCTCTTTTTTTTTTTTAACAAGCATCCAAGTATGTACTTTTGAACGAGCGGAAGTAAATTGAGTTCGATTTACAAAAAAATTACGCAAACATTTTCATCCAATTATTCTAAACTTTCTTGAAAATATATTCTTCCTCGAGGCGAAATAAAAGCTTTTGTGATAAGTTCCAGATAGTTTCCCAAAAAACAACAAGTATTCTCCTGAAGAAAGCTGCAGGTTTTTCTGCCTCTTCAAAGCTCGTTTTCATCGTTGATGAGCACATCTCACAAATCAATCACTTCAAAAGCATGATTGTTCCTGGAACAAAGCAGTGCTTCCAAAAAAAGTTGTTGGTCTAATTAATAGAATTTTTTGGGACGGTCAGGAAGTTTGCTGAAAATTTTTTCATTACCTTCCGCTCCCACACGGATGCATCGGCTTCCATAATTATGTTTGTGGCGGACAGCAAGTCATGGAGAGTGACATTTGATCGCATTTTCGCTTCGCCGACATGATCGTGGTGGTCGTCCATGTCGTAATGTTCACCCTGTGAAACATTTGAAGCCCGACTGGAAGCCCTGACTGGTAACGAGCAGTGACAGGTAGGGTTGTCGTCTTCAGACGCTATGCGAGTGGCGAGCGCTTTGACGAGCTGCAACCCGGTCCCGGTCTTCGGCTTATCCGACCACAATCCCAGGGTTTCTTGGTCATCTTCGCCGAAACTATCGTCCAGCCGTTGCCCAGTCTCCACGTCCACAGCCCGGATTTCCGGAGTTGGTCGGCGGGAAATTTCCCGATTCCGGGCGTCCATGTCCGAGTCCCCGTGGACCAGAGTGGAAGCGAGGTGGAGAAGAACGTGGACGGGTTGTTCCGCCTCCATGGTTTGATAGTTCTCAAAAGTTTTCACTTTGTCGATGTCGATGAGCTCCGCGTCCGACTTGCGGCGCCTGCTGCTGTGACCTCGTTGCAGATTGCCCTGTTGCTGTTTAATTTTCTCGTCGTCTAGAAGCCGACCAGCTGAAGCAGATTTGCTCCGAGGTCGTCCTTGGTCGCCCGAAAGATCATGCTCCAATGCGTTCGCACGTCTGTCACCGTGGTTCGCATACACGGGCTATAGACATGCAGAAGTATCTAGTTAGCATTTCGTTATTCTCCGAAGAAAGTTACGCAAGCAGTACGGCGAACAACGACTCCGCGTCCGCATAAGTGTTTCGAAGTCCCTCAAAAAATTAAAATAAATAAACACACGTGGGAATTCTTACGATGCACTACTTCTTTTCCCCGATTGAAGTTATTCATGTACTGTACTATGTAAACTTTTTCCGTCCCAAAATTCCAGATGAGAAATCAAGGTGCGCTTCTTATACAAGTACTGCACAGTACTACAAAAAAGTCTCCCCCTGTGGTCCACGGACCGGTGCAGATCAGAAGTCTTCTGCTAGTCCGCGGAAAATTTTCTTACGCATAATTTTTTTTTTTTAATTCGAAATGAAGTCAGTTATCTTTATCAGACATTTTTGACAGACAGTGGCAGCTTAAATTATCTGATGAAAAATAAAATTTGACTTTTCTCATAATAGTGCTTCAAAACAAATTTCACCTGCTAAAGAAAATAAATTTAAATTTTTGAAGACGTTTCTGGCTGTTTCTTTGGTTCTTAATTTAATTTTTAAAAAAATCTTTTTTTTAAATACCTGCAGTGAAACAAACATTTTTTGAGTTTGCAAAATATCATGAGACTTCGCCAGTCAGAAAATTTCTTTTCGGAAATTCGCCCGTCCGCAAAAAATTTCATGAAAATATGCCGGTCCGTGGGCCCAAAAGGGTTGGGGAGCATTGCTTTAGAACGTTATAGACGTGAAATGCATTCTGGGCTGTTTTTCAAGCAGCTAAACTGCAACAACTACAAATTCTGAATACCTATTTCGGGTATTGAAATACAGTAGTTATTTTCCGTTTAAGTCCCGATTCTTCTTCTTTAATTCATAAGTTGTCCATCTTTTTTTCTCTTGAAAAGTTAAAAAAATACTGATAATGCGCCAAACGCGATCCTGATGCATAATTGCTCATAAATCGTCACACTCGAAATTTTTATTGCACATTTTACTGTACAGTACTCGGAAATAATTGTCCTTCATTTTTCTTCCCAAAGATTAGGTTCAAAGAATTCATATGGTAATTTCTCTTTTACCCCACTATTTCTCATGAAAGTAATGACAAATTCACGGAGATATCTGTCAAATGAAAATCATTTGCAGTACAAAAAATCATAAATAACTATACTGCAACCGTCATCTTCGGTTCCAGTGTCAATGGCTCACATACAATCCAGACGGGACTAACCAATTTTACAAATCCAGCGGTGATTACTGGATTTTTTCCTTCCTAGATGATTTGAATTCTTTTTCTTTCAACCTTGAAAGTGTGTGTTGTATAAGGAAAAAGTTTATTTTCAGCATAAATTGAGCATCTGAGAGTGACTATTGATTATTAACCTTCAAGGTAGACGAAAAAAGGCTTTATATCGAATTGCGTGACCCCTCAGCATGAGTACTCCAAGGACCAAAAAACAGTTCCTCATAAAAATTATTTTAATGCACATGAGATGCTTCTACTACTGCACATTAAGTCAAAATTTCCCGCAGTTCATGTTACACAGGCACTTGACCGAGGTACAAAAAAGTTTCTTAACTGTATGCCAGTAATAATTTTGAATGTAATCCAATAATGAAACCATTTTTCACACCAGTATACGCATGCAATTACTTGACCTATTAGAACTCAGCAAGGAGAAATCCACGAAGAGCGTAGTAGAAAGCTCTTACTATTGAATAGGTCCGTGTCACAAGAGAGAAATTCACTTCATGCCTAATATTCATGTTGTCAGAGGAGATTTTTCTACAGGGAGTCGTCATTTTCACTTCCTTCTTGAAGGTTAGCGAAAACTTTGTGTGATGCCAAAGGAAATTTTCGGAGAACCCATAAAGATGATTAACTAACCTTGACTTTGAGCATCTGAATTGTGTTGATTAGACGACGGAAATCTTTCGCTTCGCGAGTCACACCTTGGCTGATTTTCTGAGTCGTGGATTTCAGGCCTTGGCGGAACTTCTTCTCAAAAGAAATGAGTCTCTTGCTCTGATAAGCCCGTCCGATGAAGCTCAGGATCATTATCAAGTAACCCAGCCCGAACATGATCCAGGCGATGACGAAGGCATTGTACATCCAGATCCAGCCTCCAACTTTCCGACCTGTACACAGGAACCCCAGTTAAACCGCGTCTAGCAGAGCTGGTCGAAGGCATCCGGGGACCCTTCACAAAATATCTGAGATGAGGGGTTGTGACGCATCCTGCATTTCAATGAAAACATTTCGCCATTAATCGGGTAACATCAAGTCCAAAAGCGCAAGATTTCATTTCATGTCACACTGTCATTGACTGTCACGCCATTCCGATGCACTAATAACTGCTGAAGGTTATGGTCGATTTATTCAACCGGTATTCGAACCATTTACGAAAGGGGCAAACCGAATGAATCCCGAATAATTCCTAGGGTTCCCCACGTGATAGAATCAAAGCTGGAATTTGCTTTTCTACAAGGAATGCTTCCTAGTGTCTCTGTGAATGTATTTACAACATATTGACCATGGTAATATATCAAATCGATTTCAAAATTTTTCAAACTCCATACCAAGTCACTTGCACTCCGACTAAATCTGATAGTAAAGCAGAACTTCTATGATGCTGGGGTAATGACAGAATTATTCGAGTCCTTCGTCCAGACAAACGAATACTGTACCGCATAACGGATAATCTGATAGTGAAAGAAAATTGTGTTCAACAGTCAACCAAATGATACCGAATTCAATCGAGTACCACGCGCACCATTTTTCTCAGAACAGAGAAAAAAGAGGTGCGTGTCATAAGTGGGTATACATGTTCCAAACTTTTTGGTGTTTAGGTGGGCAGCATAATTTACTCAAATGGAAAATTCAAATGAATTTTATTTTTTTTAATCGCATTTTAAAGGAAAAAATTGAAAATTGGTTCAATTAGCATTCATTTCTTCTCTAAATTCAAAATTGGGTGCTATTATTCTCAAAAATTTCAGTTCTAGAGTCGCTAAAAATGAGGTGTGCCTCTAACTGGGGGATGAAATTTTATTTACAAATGTTTGACTGAAAACCCCTGGTGCGCCTGTTACTTGAGGGCTCATCGTGATGGTATTCGAGTAAATACGGGCAATACAAAAGTACAGAATCATCAGCATTCCTCAAAGTGTGAAATAAAGAAATGTAAATCACTACTTATTATCACTCGGTCAGTGGAAAATAAAGCATTTCGAATTAAATTAAACGGTCTTTCTCAATGAATCGTAATTATGGCACGGTTGCTCGCATGCAGGCGTAATTGGGGTCCAAACAGTTCGAGTTTTATCGAATCTTAAACAACAATACATTTTAAAATCGTACAAAGTTCCAATTTCAGCATGATCTTATTTTTCAGTCATTTGCTTTTTCATTTTATCTGGTTGGAGACAAGAAGAAAATCATTGATGAAACAATCCTATTATCCTCGCCGATTTGATAACAAGACAAGGTGTGCATCGTTACACATTGGACGAAATCTCTTATCTCAGTCACGTTGATTTACTGTACTTTGATCACCACTGATGATGGCAGTCGTGTTATTCGTACCCATTCATCCAAAGTCGTACTTGAGTGACGATGCACAGTACCATGCAACGCAAGGATTGGTACGAGTTTTACACCGCAGTGATCACGGGATTCGATTAATGCATAACTTGATCAGTCATCATTTAGATTCCCGCACCTCACAAACATGAACTTCACGCAGTGCAAAAAGCACGTGATATGGGAGACGGGTCGGGACTTTCAGGTACCGTACTCAAGCTCCCCGCGCCAGAAAGGTTGACCCAAGGTTTCTGAAACCCCTCATACTCGAATCTTGGGAGGTTCCCGTGGGATTAATACGCCGCGTCATTCCCTATTCGTCTGAAACGCCGCAGTGTATCCTCGTCTTGAAAGGCTTGATTGTGAATGTGCGTCATCGCTCCTTATGGCGTGTTACAACACACGCGGATCACATTACTCCGCTTTGGCAACACGCTCGTCGGGAAACTTTCTCAGGGACATGATAAACACGTTTGGCCCTTGCTCACTTGCAGTAGCCGTCGACGTGAGCTCCCTAACGCAGCAACGTGGAGACTAGCTGTTATTTTGCCCCGGCAAAACGTCGCTGAGAACGTCGCGGTTTTTATGATCCGCGACTGCCCAAAATACGTTACGGCTTTCCTATAATTCCACATACAGTTTCTGGAAGGTGTTTAAAAATCACTGCGTAAGAGTCACTAACATTCGATTCGTAACCCAAGTCAAACCCACCCACACGAAGTAAACATTCCCACGCGCGTCATTCCTTCGTACCTGACTTCGTGAATGCCGGCAGTTCGTCTCTATACAGTACAGTATCGGGGCAGAACTGCAAAGATTAGATCTTCGAAATACAGTACTGAATTTACTGGAATTAAACGACGAACGGGACAATTCTCAGACAATATCCCGTATACAAAATATTCCTCTTCGAACATATACGATATACGAGTATTGTGCGGGGAAAAAGCCAAGGGGGTCGGGATGCCGTAATCTGACAACAAAAAATCGGTTGAAGTACGACATTTTAATACTGTAATTATCCATGACGCATCTGCGCTTTTTTATTGATGTGCCAAGGTCGTGTCGGGAGAAAATTGCGCTGCTAAAATCATGCGGTAGGAAAATCACGAGGCGTAAAAATCAGGCAGCGTGAAAATTCACTGGTTGCCCTTCACTTGCAAAATTAGTGAATGTAGTGCAAAGCATTTCATTTTTAGTTCTATCCACCTGGGCAAGAAAAATCAATGAAAATTTTCCTCGACTTTTCATTACGATATTCCATGGACTAGCGTCTACTTGCGTATGCAGTGAAAGTTAAAATCGAATTCCAGCAGATATTCACTTCAAAACTCTTGTGGTGTGACTTTTTCTTGGGGCAAGAATGTTTCAATATGACTTAGCATCAGTAAAATCGAGCACATTTGTAATACGAAGATTTGCTGACATCCATTTCGGAAAATTTGCATTCTGCTTGTAAAATGAGGCATCGCACAAAAAATAGCACAAACAAGTTCAGCAGGAGTGTTTCACTCATTCCTATAATAAAGATTCACAGGAAATTCGGTACAGTACATCAATGAGGGATCAGATTTTTCGAAAATTTCATAGTGAATCCGCACAAAAAGCAAGAAAAGATCTTAAAGTTCTTCCGTCAACTCTGAGATTTGCTGGTGATTTGCTTCCAGGGATAATAATTTGCACTTGGCTGAATTTGAGGGGAATTTCCAAAATTACGCGTTTTACAAGGTATTAATGGTAAAAAAAATGGTAAACATAAATTAAAAATGGTATTCGGGTCGAAAAACCAGTGCGTCGTACCTCGAAAAACCAGTACCTCATAAACGGGATAATTTATACACCTAACTTGGAACTGTTGGGGAGTTTTTCTCTTCATCTACCAGACCGAATGTATGACACATGGAAACACGTCTTTCTTCGTTAATCATTTGACAGAAACGCTATCATTACCGAGCGGTTCTTGTTAAGGCAATTCTTCCACTTCAAAACATCAGGATGTTATATTTCTGAGCAAGCCAGGAGTTGGCACTTATACATGAAATATATTTTAAAATTATGCCTGGATTTTTCATTTCGAAATACAGTAGTTTGAAACCATCGCTGATCAAAGATTTTATAATCTCGCACATAGACTCATGTTTCCTGGAACCTAAGAAGATGCTCTAATTATGCATACGAGGATGAGAACACACACACAAAATAGAAATAAGGCTGATACAATCGATTCGCCGGCAAAAATTACAATAATTCAAAGCTCACGCTAGAAGCACACAGCGCGTACAACGTCTTCCATCGGCTCAAGTCGTGATTCAATCGTTAAGTGGATTATTAGTATGTATTAATCGTACGTGTATGATTGAAAGCCTGTGCCAACTGGATCAGATAATATAATTTAAAACTCACCCCGTGCAACGAGATCACCGAAGCCGATGGTCGTCAACGTCACGAACGCGTAATAAACTCCTTCAACGAAGGTCCAGTCCTCCAACACAACAAATCCAACAGCCGGAATGAATATAAAGATGATGAAACCCGGGATCAGGTAAAAAAGCACTTCGGTCCACAAAGATATTTTTCTTGGTGACGTCAGCCACTTTTTTTTCTTGTTCTGCGTGGGCTTCTCGAACTTCGACCTGAGGACAATCAGGAAAATTTGAAACAAACCTTAAAGAATATGTTCAGCGGAATGTCTTGCATCTGAGTCGATCAGTCGTGAATTCGATTCACTGTACTATGAATTTCGAACCCATAATTGCAGCATCAAGCATCATATGAACGTTTCAAGATCCCAAATGCAAATTTGAAAAATCAAATTGATATGAGAACGCCTGACAATTTATTACTCTTTGAAATTTGACGAGACGGTTAAGACGGATCGTCGCCGAAATTTCAAATTTCAATCATTTGTTGCTTTGATTATACCGGAGAAGGCATTCGGTCATTAGCTCGGGCACTGAAGATTTCCTTGTGACTTGGTGTACTTCGGAAAACTGAAATCGTACACAATCAGCCCCGTATTAATAAAAGTATTTGATGAAAAATCACATGGGACGACGAAAAGTGTTTCTGAGGAACACAGTGACCCATTTCTCGAGCCAGGGATAGATATTCGCGACCTTCTTGTTTCCTTATTCATAAATACAGTATTCCGAACTCGCTTCGACTCACCCTCAATGAACATACGAGTACACTCGTAAGTTTTCCTGGTCATTGCCCATGCGTCTTCTACTGATGTGATAAGATCGTGACGAAATATGGTGTGCATTAAATATTTTATTTAATTTTTCTAAAAGAAAATGTTCCTTTCAAACGGCTTTTAATGAAGCAGTGACCAGAGGAAGACATTCGAAAAATAATTACTGCTGCACATAAGTGAAAAAAACTAAAAGCTTTTCAAAGTTTCGCACCATCACTCCAGTAATGTGAAGCTCGTCAAAATAGATCAAATGAGATGAGCCAGTATCACAAAAAAACGTAGCAAATGAAACGAAACTTTATTGCGAAGTATGAATGATGACAGAACAGTCGAGAAAAATAAATCAGCCCGATTTCAAACTTATATCTTTCGATTTGAAGAAATATAACATTACAGTACTCAAGGTGTTAAAAAATCCCTATCTTTCTATTCCCACCATTATAACTACGGCGTTTCCTTAGATGAAAATGTGTTCAAATTCCTCGCGAGGATAAAAATAAGACTGAGATGAAGATCGCATTCTCCATAAGTGCGTAATTGTGTATTACCACGAAAATAAAATTTAAAAAGCATGAAAATCATAATCTTGACAAATAGTGGAATGTTTGGAACACAGAAATTATTAGTAAGGCATTAAAGTACGGTACAGTTTGAATAACCAATTTTAAGCGATCAGTAGATAACCAATTTTAAGCGTTCAGTAGAAAACCAGTTTTAGACTATCAAAAGACTTCATCAATTTTGCGTACAGTACTTTTGTAAGCGGGCCAGAAATCTAGTCACATTCGTGAATGCATATCACTCGACAGTCGTAATCCAACTTTATTGAATATTGGCAAATTCTGTTTGCTTTGTAAGTTTTTTTTTCAATTACTGTACTACCTATATATTAATAATAGTCAGTTCAACAGGGGGTTTCAATTAAAAATTTCATTTATTTGTATATCATTATGCAACGTCATTTTATCGCTGTTAAATTCCCTCGGGAGTCAAAAATGATTTAAAATTCATTTTTAAACGCGTGGATTGCTCAATAAAAACTTTTAAAACATGACCTTGCATACCGAGTTCTTTTGATAGTCAAGCATAGGATTTCACCAGTTGGGGATCAATACTGAACTTGAAAGAAGCCCTTCTTTTATTTTCAAACAATTCTTTCCAATTCCCACATCAAGATAGGAAAACCTATCTTCAATGGTGTACGTCATATTTCAAGGAACTATCTTATTAATTTGCACTAGCACCAACATTTATGTTGAAAAATCCATCAATACGTGGTCTTCAGCATTATCCCTAGAACGTTGAACCAATATGTTGAATATGTTGAACCAATTCCAGTTTTCAACCAAAACCTAATTATTGAACTGTACTATGCAAGTGTAACGGCTGAATTTTTTTTACATACACAGATGGGGTGTGCTTAGAGCTAACTATCAGCCTTCACTCCAAGATGCGAACTCGCATGGGAGAATATTTGAGCATCAATCAAGAAATAATTGAGTAATCCTCAGAAAAGGCAGTCCTCCTACATTTTTATGTTCTCATTAATGAGGAGTGAATGTCTAACATAGCTTGTGAACCAGTCCTCGAGCTTCTCCCTTGATGAAAAGGTAAGCTTATTCATACTTCGAAGCATGAAATCTCGTGTGTTACAGTCTTGCGGACATGACCTGATGAGTAAAGAATCGTAGAAGACAATCGGGCGTGTTACATACGGAAGAAAAACTTCCACCCGATCATCCATCATAACTATAACAACAGGAATGTTTACAAAGTGACGTTGGCAGAGCGGCAGTTCCGGTCGCGTTCCAGCGGCGGCTGTAACTTTTCATGCCTTTCTCAAGCCGCCTCTCATGCCGCCTTACACAGCTTCAAACATGCAGGAATTCCACGACGAAGCTTTTCGTCACCCGCTGCCAAACTCCAGTGCAAAACATGTCGGTAACGATGCTGAGAATCATAGAAGATTGTTCTCCAACTGTCAAGCCGAGTCTTCTCATCGAGGGAAAAAGAAGAAGAATCTTGGCATGCTATGCTGAGCTGGCAAATTTGATTATTGTAAACAGGACCCTAGGATAGCTTTGTTGACAGAACGATCCTCCAAAGTTCAGCGTTGCGCAATGGAAACTTCACAACGTTTACAATGAGATGGATCTTACCGACTCATTGTTTCAGTTTTCAGGAAAGTCACTGGATTGATCGACTTGAAAATAGCACAAGACCACGGATACGCTTGAAACGCCCTTAGTCAAATCCAACATTTGCCATCCGACGATCGAAAATTAAGAACACTTCAATTGTTTTAAAGTGAAGTGGTGCCATTATTTTTAGATTACAGAGCAACCCCCAGATGCGGACATAATTGGTTCATCAAGAGTGTCTCTAAGTTGAGACTTGTTTTCCCATAAACTTACATTATATAAATTTTAATTGGTGTTTTATGGATGAAATATTCTTCAGAATTCCATGAAAAAAATTGTTTGCCACTTGAATTTGATTTGGTGAATATCTTTTCAACTCAATAAGAACATTCGAAGCATTGAATAGTGTACCTCCGTACAGTACATAGAAATGTTGGCATCTGTAAAAGTAACATTCAAGTCAAAAAGAAAGAAGGAAGTCCCTCTTCTATGCTATAGGTAATTTTTTGAACTAGCTGAATGGATGGGAAAATGATGGGAGAAATATCAGAGTTTTTCTTGCATAGATCTTAGGGTTTGAAATACAGTATATGTTTCTTGGAATTAAGCCCAATAAAAGTCAATTTTTCTGAAATTGATTGCCAATTTTAGCATATAATGTCCTCATGTCGAGTCAGTGTCCATATGTCGGACCTTTTCATGCCTTTTTATTTAAAAATAAATTTCCCTATTTCGCATTGTCCACATGTTGAAGTGTCCGCATGTTGGGGTCTCACTGTACTTTGGTGAGGAACGCAAGAATACGAAGCCACAAGAAAACAGGACTTGCGGACACCATGCCCTCGAGTTGCAAAGAAAAATATTTTATTTGCAAAACTATAAAATAGAGTTAATATTTGTCTAGGTAGAAATGTTTACTTGCTGGTATAAATGGGGGGGGGGGGGATAATAGAATCTGAAAAGTTTGAGTTACTCGCTCATTGATTTTTTCGCAGCAAAGATACTCCATTGTCAGCTAAATTTTAAACATGAAGATTTTAAATGAAAATTTTAAACAGGACATTTGAACATTGAACAACAGTTCAAATGCGCTGAAAAAAACAATGAAGATCTACCAAGCCGTGATCCTCTTTCAGTCAGCATCGTCTTATATATCAACGCTTCGTATGGTAAATTTTAATTTGAATGACCTTAAACTACCGTCTGGAAAAACTAAGGCAAGTTGTATGTAACTGCCCGGGGCGGAGGACGTGAACATCATTCCCCAAAAATGCTGGAGGGGAAAAGAGACTCCCTGATTCCTTGCGGGCAGATTTGAAGAACAAATCACGGTGTGTTCGATAGACAATTGCATAACCTATACTGGTTGCGTCACAAATACGGATAACTTAGGTAGATAAATATAGCCACATTTAACACAATTGCTATGCGTTCAGGACCATATTTCAATACCCCATCTTACCTCATACTGTATTACACTCGAACCTCGAAAACGCGGCCCTTCCGAAGTCGAATAGCTCCTCAAGTCGATTTTTTTTTCAAGTCCCTCAGTGAGAAACAGGACATTTGAAAGCTCCCTAACTTGAAGGCCTTTTCTCTCAAACCTGCGTAAGTTGAATTTTCTGAGGCTTTTCGGCTATCATTCCATTCACGGAGGAAAAGAGAAAATCTGTAAAAAATATACCTTGATGTGTTTTGAAAGGAAGTGAACGTCTATTCGGACAGATGAAGCCTTACCTCCAAGTTCAGCATCCTAAACTCATTTACGAACCAATTCAAGGCGTAACCCCCCCCCCCCCCCCCCCCCCCCCCCCCCAACACAAATGCTTGTTTCCTCAACTTGAAACCTCCCCATCTCGATTTTTTGCTGGTATCTTGAAGTTCGATTTGAAGAGGTTTGACTGTATCTTTTCAATTACGTTTGCGTCGTCAAACATCTCATCATGGAAGCCATGATGAGAACAGCATATTTCGAACTTCACCGGAGGCAGTTTTCCCAGCACCCTTTATTCGAGTCGAGAATTCATTTTCATTTTTCAACTATTATCGCGGGAATCATGGGATCATCTGCAAACTTACGAAGATTGATGGAATTCCTTCAAGATGTACTCAAGTCGCATGCATCTACGTCTGCGAGTCTCTTCTGTACGTAACCTAATCCTCTCAATCACTTGGCGATTGCGCCAGCAGCCATCTGGTCATACTTTGCAAAACACTTCTTTGTTTCAGGACCGTGGAAATCAAGTCCGCGTGAATGAATTTCGCAATTCCCCGTCTTTTTGGGAAGCTTCTTTAAAAAAAAAAAACAGCAGGATTGACTACAGATTCCGAGACCTTTTTTGGAACTTTTCGAACACCAAAGCAGGTATCGCAAGCTGTGCTGAGCTGTATAAATCGAAGAACATCCCGGCTGCACTGACAATTTACTTAAAATCTTTCTACAGCTCTACAATACTTCATTTAAAAATAACAAACACCATTTGCAAGTAGAATTTCGTAGAAGATGAGCTGTTTATAAAATAATAAAAAGTTTGCCGTGAACAGAAATCAATCACAGACTTTCTTTCAGCTGCACAGCAAGCATTGCAGAGAGCCCAAAACAGCGGAACATTTCCTGCACATTCTCATACGGCTAGTCGTACGATAAGCTTTTCGGTACAACTAAAAGTAATTTAGATCAAAGCGAGTACAGTAATGTAATCAGGCCTCTCAGTCTGTGCTATGCATACAAAATATGCAATACTATTATAGATAGAGTAATGTAGAGGTGGTGATTGGTATCAATTACCGCATAACAGCAGATGTTATGCGGAACAACGCCATGCCTTTTGATGGTGGTACCATCCGAAAATGGCTGTCACACTTCAGTCAAAATAAATATGGCTCACCGGTGATCAAAGACTTACTGCAGGTGGATTCTCTGTAAAAGGATATTGTTTACGAGGGTATTTGCTGTAAAACGATTTTTTTTAGTACGGTGTGGTTCTCTCCCCATGTGTAGGTCAGTGTTCCCCAACCCGTGGTCCGCGGACCAGCACCGGTCCGCAGAAATTTTCAGCATAATACATTTATAAAAATTAGTAATAGAGTCTGGCATCATTGGGCAATATGCAGAAAAAAGACGATGGCAGTATAAATTAATTGATGAAATATAAAATTTTACTTTCCTCCAAATAAACACTTCAGACGAATTTCCACCTGCTGGAATAAATTAGTATAATTTTTCATTGTGAGAAACCTTTCTTCAAGCCCACTTCCAGAATTTTTGAAAAAGATTCAGCTATAGCTGCTTCATTGGTGCTCAACTTAATTTTTCCAAGAACCAGAGACTTATAAACAAATACGATAAAGTCTTTCAAGCAAAAGCTTTTTGAGTCTGCAAACCTTTTATGAAACTTTGCCGGTCAGCAGAATCTTTTTTGGGAATTTTCCGGTCCGTAAAAATTGTCATGGAAATTTACTGGTCCGCAAGCCCAAAAAGGATGGGGTACACTGGTGTAGGTTATAAGGGTTCTCTACAAGGACATTTTTTTCTGGTTTCTTGAATTTCATTGTTGAGCAAGTCCCCTTGTATGCACATTCCCCAAGAGCGGAAGACTCCACGCACCTAGATTATATCGAAGCTAAAATTGCTGCGTCAAAAAGTGACAACTGCTGTAATTTCCGCGCTCGATTTCGCGGGATGAGGCATGATTAGAATGACTCACTTTTTATGCACGTCGACCAGCACAGCCGCAAAGAACTCCCCGAGGGTGGCGAGCAAAATACCGTTGAGCGGAATGCCGATGAGGGCATAGAATATCGTGAATACACGACCCTGCCAAGTGCCTGGGGCCATGTGACCGTAGCCAATCGTCGTGATGACCGTGAAGGCGAAGAAGAAAGAGTTGTAGTAGCTCCAGACCCAAGGGTCTTCTTCCTCGGACGTCGAGTTGGCAGAAATGTGCTCTCGATAGAATTCAATCCCGGACGCTTTCGATATTTCGACGATCAGGTCTATCAGTTCACCGGTCGAATTTGCACATATATCACTGTGCAAAAATTCTGAAACATAATACAAGATAACGAGAATAAATCAAATGCCAGCAGATAATACCGTACCTCTTCTTTACCGAACCTCTTCTGAATACAAAACATGAATAATTCATCATCATTCACGGTTTTATCTCGCGTCAGCGATGATTACTTTTGAAATTATCGTCATCGCAGAAAGAAATTCTTGCAACTTCAACACGAAAAATTGAATGAAGTATTGAAAGGGAACTTTCCCACAAGAGAAGGGGAGACAAATACTGTATTGCATGCAGGGAACTTGAAGACACCGACAAATTGAGGCGTTCAATTCGCGCGAAGGAGAAAACCCCCGCGTCGAATGCATACTAATCCGTTTACAATAGATGTAAGTTTGCTGCAGTCACGTGAAATTCTCCAGCAAATGACGCATTAAAAATCAACCGGAGAATTCCTAGGAGTGCAGTTGAACTCATGATGATGTCAAAATTTTACTGGGTGTTACATGAAGCGGTTTTAAACCACTGGAGCTATGGAAAACAAATCCACGCTTCAAGAAGGATGTTTTCGCGAATCGTGTCGACGACGGCACGACCTTCACAGACAATACATTCCCATGACGACAACGGAATCTTCTTTTCTGTTTCAACAATCAGCCAATTGACACCAAATGACGCGGCCGTGCTTCGTTCGTACCGTGGAATACGGAATAACAAAAAGGGATTTTCCAACGATTTAATATAAAACAAATCCACTAGTAAATACTGAGATTCCGTCGGAACCTCATCAATTTACAAGCAAAAAAATCCAGAAGGGTGAATTCTATACGGTATACACAGTTTTCAAAAATAATTTCTTGCTTGCTTGCATTACACCCTCCTCCCATCCCCGTTTTCCATGCAAAACTTTCATTACATAAAATCACAGAAGACTAAAAAAAGTCAAGAATTTCTTTTTTTTTTGGAAAATCATTGCAACAATCCGATGAATGAATTTCCAGGCTCTTCAAATTCTCCATTTTAGCTTGCTGGAATTATAGTGGATGCATCATTCCTTGCAGAAAATCTTCACCAAAAGTTTCAACTGCAAAATTTACAATACGAGCATCCGGGCAAACCTGAGGAGGAATTATCCATTACTTGAACAAAAGTAAACCCTAAGTGGCCTAAGTCATTCATTGAAACCCAATTTATTGAAATAAAATTCAACCCGAAGTCACAAACATCCTAGCGATAAATCTAAAATTTGAAGATGTCAGGATGTGTTCCACACATCCCCATGTATGCCTTTGCCTCAATGTGTCTCAGAGGGGAAATGGTTGGTTAGCAATTGAAATAGTTCAGATTAATTTTCCAAAAACTCAAGACAACATTTCTTACATTTCTTTGTATATCTGTCCTTCCTCACGTTGTTCCTAAACAAAAAAGTAACTACAGTAGTGTATAGGTTTATTCAGTACAGTTGATTTTATTCAAGTCTAATTTAAAGGGACTCGAAAAATTTCCACCAAAATTTTTTTTGTTTAAGATAGGGAATGTGTCTCATTTGAGTTGGTTAATCGATGGAAATTATTTTCTGGTCGAACTAGTAGAACTGTTCATCATTTGTATAAGTCCTAACGGCAGGGATGTTAACATTCATGGAGAGGATAGGGAAAACACGTTTTTTTTTTCTGGAACGAGTGCTCTAAAGTTTAAAAATGTTCGAAACTTCCCGAATTTAGAATGGGCAGGGGATGTACTGAGATATCTAATTGCGGAAGTCCTATTAAATTTGGATCATTCTGGAAATCAGCTTCAATCTAGTCTCCTCAGTAATTGAACCATTCGTTGCTATGCTTGAATGAAAGTCTACTCAATTCTGGTCTCAATCAACTATTCCAAGTTCCTTCAGAACTGTCATTTTCGATTCGGCTGAAAGCCAGTTCACCAGAACTCACTCAGTCCGTCATTGAAGACCGTTTTCGGAAGGTCACGCAATTATCTTCAGCTGTTCGAAGCAATTTATGGAGCTATCAGTGGTACTTAATTTCATGGCCCTTCCAAGAATTGTGAAGGGTCGACGGATTTGACTGCGTGACGATGAGCCGGCAGTGAATTAAAAAATGGATCGATCCTTTGGTCACCCTTCTGTATTCCTGACTCCTGAGGGCTCCATGAGAAAATCCCGTGGGCCCGAAAATCTCGCGAGGTACGAAAATCCCACTACATGAATTTAAGCATCGGAAAAAGCCTCTTTTGATAACGAGAGTTGACAATAGTGTGTGGACAATTTCTGAATTATTCAACAAGTATACCGGTAAATGAAAATCCAAATACTGTACAAAAACCCATGGGGTCAAATATCTCGTAGATTATCGAATTCTTGGAAGTGTGTGTTTGCGGTTTCCTTGAACCCTCATGACAGCTCAGGATTAACAATCTCAAGAGCCCGAGAAAGTTGTAGCTTTCTTTTCGAGCTTCCATCTCTGCATTTGCTCTAAATATAAAAGTACTGTATAAGTACAGTACTGTAAAGTACTGTAAGGCCCCCACATGCAGTATGTTATGAGCCGCAGGATTTTATTTCCCACAGGATTTTTTTATTGAGCCCTGAGGGACACTATAGCTTTGAAAAATCTGCCCTGACATCCAGAAAATGCCCTAACATATGCACAATTCTCCAAATTTTCTAGAAAAATTCAAAATCGTAATTTTTTTCAAAAATTGGATATCTCATGAACTAATTGAGTAACGTATTCATATCATGTAAATGAATTTCAATATAAATTTTAAAAAATGTATAATTGAACACATGTTATTCTTGTGCTTGTTTTTTCAGTATTCCCCATCATCTTGTATTGTAAAACTTGTGCAGTACTTTTTGGAGTAATCTTGATACGGAAGGTCAAAGTCGATATGGTTTTCTGCTGCACAGTTATATCCCGTATATTCAAGAAGAAAAACAAATTGAAGTCAATATTCTGGGGATTATACCAAATTTTTGATGAAGTGGAGAACCAATTAAATTATTTCCAATTGAAGTCCATGAGAAAATTATATCATACAAGTGGATGTTCCGACCATGGGACAATAAGTGTGAGTAGCACTTCCGTCCGCATCTCGGAGTGTCTTTCATTTATAAAGATTTTCACACTCCACAAGATTTTCCTACTCCGTGAGATTTTCGGACCCAGGGTAATTTCATGCCCCGAAAAATTGCTCCTGTGCCCTTCACGAGAATCTTCATCAACCGCGCAAGAAAAAGAAAACGATCAGCCAGCCGCAATATCAGAGTTCAGTTCCGCAGCCGAAACGCGGAACATCCGCCGATGACCCGGTTTGGGAAATCCGGAATGATTCAACGCTACGAAGCGGAAACAGCCGCGGGATAAGCTGTGCTGCTTCTGGGAAACCCCGACGCTAAAGCTGACGACCTCCAGACAGGCCTTTACCGCGAAAACGCAAGGTTTTTCCGCCCATTTACGCAACTGAATCACATTTCGACTCGCGCCAACCCAAGCATGACTTCAACGTTTTTATTTTGTGTTTATTCTTTCCACCCTGAAAATCCACAGCGAGTGCAGTACGACTAGAGCTTAATTGCTACAGTTGCTATTTATCGACTGAAATACTGTACGCTTAATAACAAGGTAATTCCCCTACGGATACAGTAGCTCGTTTTAACGAACCCTCGCTTTGGACTTGACGGGGTGATTATCGTTACGCAGTTGATATCTACGAAAAAAGAAGTGAGAAATATATTAATACGGTGCAGTAGATGAGTAGAACCTCTATTATTATTCAATAAAAGCATACGAGGATTTTGAAAATTGCATTTCGACGAACAAGAGTGATACATTGAAAAAATAGCCGCAAATCTAAAACAGCAACACAAATTCCACATGCCCTTTTCACCGAAACAAAAGGCGCGTAACTCGTATCACGTTCGAATAAAATACAGGACGACATAATTTTTTTTTTTTAAGTTATGAAGATACCTTCGCTGAGCACTGTTGGGCTTAAAGGACAGGATTTCCATAAAAAAATCAAAAATATTTCGAGGGATTCTAACAGTTACCCATATTTTTTAGTGCCATTTTGCCGAGATTGACTCGAACTCTGGGTATATTGAAGTCAAGTCCCGGAAATCAAGACCACGGTATAAAGTATTTGTAAATCAAGATCCTAACTTTGAGAACCGCGGACATTTTCAAATAAATTTACAGCATATGAATCCAGGATCACAAGATAGCTTTCAAATTTTCAAATTTTCTGCTCGCTGAGTTGTTACAGTCTTAACGGAGTGCTTCCAGATTTTAAAACTCTTCAAGTTTACAGATCGACAGGCTATACCAAGTTTGGTTCCTGCCATTTTAAATTTAGCACCTCGCGAATCACAACGTGGATACAGCAGTTACACCAAAAATTAAACCATGCATAAACCAACACGGAGAAGAGTTTATATTTTGAAAGCGCTCTTTTCTGTTTCCGCACATTACACGGATAATAGAGCATTCATTTAATAGAGCATTCATTTAACATTCTTGATATGAAAGTGTTGATTCTACATTCTTCTGAGACCATGCTGGATCTGCTATACTCGTTTTAGTACTGCAAGAGAGATGTTAAAGTACTTGGATTCAGCAACAAAAAAGTATATTGGCTGCGGCGCGGTACATCTCACTATTCTCCTGGTTGACTTTTGACTTCTCTGAACAAAAACAGAATATTTCGGACATTGAAAAGTTGATTGAAATTATACGCGGAAAAGGATAGATTCCGGTCGACCCGGATTTTGAGTACTAATGAGTGAAAATTCAAGTACTTTTCTGGTCGTTTATTGTCCTAATTAAAACGCGGAACTTCTCTTGAAAGGTTAAATCTGAAACGATTACTGTTCAATTACCCAGGTAACGATTGACACGCGTTCGATCCAATAATTTACTCATTTTACCCCAAGCAATTAATTGACTGGCCATGGAAACTATCACGCAGTATTTCAAAGTTTTTTCCTTGAACGCACGATTTTCAATGACTGATGGACTTCGTGGAAGACATTTTTATTGTGACTTCATTCGAAAGCGAGCAATTTTTGGGGATGACCGTAATTCAGACGATCGATTTCACTGATAGGATACCTCTTGCTAAACTTGAAGAAGGATAAATGACTTACGAAGCGCAGATTATTTTTTTGTTTATTTTCAAAGCTTGTTTTTGTCTAGCAATCAACAGTGTGAGGCGTGCTCATTGTGCTTCCGTCTCAGAAGACGGGGAAGCGCTTGATAAGCCTGTTTCACGTTACTACATGATGAAGATAAATGTAGCAGGATTCAGCACGCTCGAGAAACTGACAAGCATTAAGTCGAGGAATGAAGGTGTAAGAATGGAATTAAAGCAGTACTGACATAACGTAAATATTCATATGGACATGCGCGGTCGTGGAGTAATCTCCGGCATCGTCATTCCCGAAGGAAACTCTTCTGCATGAACTCAAGGCCCGGAAAAATGATCAGAAAGTCAATTCATCTCGCCATACACGCGACGAGCCGCCTGCATAAAAATCTCAGGTCGGATAGCCGATTACGCCACGTGCATGGCAAGAGCAATAGGGCCTCTTCTGCCATTATAACAGGCAGGCAGAGAACAGAAACGAAATAATGGCTCACCGTTGACCTCGATCCGCAGTTTCAGCAAATCCTCCCTAGTCTTCTGTTCGCGCTTCGACTCCATGATCATGAAGACAGCGGCCCCGATCAAGAGATACACGATGTACAGAAAAAGAAGCAAGAACCAGTGCTTCTTCTTCATCTTCCACGACGAGTTGTGCTTGTCAGACATGTTCGCTTGCGTTCACTAAACTTTTTTTTTCACAAGAAGTCTGGCAATGTTTTTCTTTTTTTTGCTTTTTTTTTCTTTGGCTAATTCACGGCTTCCTGTCCCGACATGCGATGGCCTCGAACCAGGCCAACTGATTGTCAGTTCACCACACGCGGAGTCCACTAGCTTACAGCTCCATTTAACGCAAGATTTCACGAGTTCTCTCACACGCCCTCGGGACCGCTTTCGATTCACTGAAAAAGCACTGTGAAGAGGAGTTTTTTTTTTTTTAATACTGCACACGCATAAATTCACGAACATTGGCTGTGTAACTCTAAATGAATTCCTTCCCCTCGAATGCCCAGAATTTAAATGATTTATTCACAGCCGAACTGACACATTGGGGATTTTTTTTTAAATTCTTCGCAGAGAATGTCGTCGTAATTGAACTGCTTATCAAAGCAGGTCGACTGAATCCATGAGGATTTCGTTTATAGGAACATTCTTCATGCAGTGATTTCTTTCTTGGTTTTAGCTGAGATTTTTAGAACGTTTTAGCAGCTCCTGAGCATAACAATGCAATATTTTCTAATGCAAGAGTGAAAAGATTCTTCATTATGCGGTCTGTTAGGATGCGAAAAAATTGCCTTATACAGTACAAATACTGCAATACTGTATCACGGAAAAGAAAGTAGAAAACGTTGGCTTGACTCCTCCGCAAAATTCAGCACTCTTCCACCCTCATTCAAGACCGGTCACTAAAATAAGCGCAGTATTTCTTCGCAATGATCAACATCAACAGAAAATTCAGGAACGTAGAAGAGACCCTGTGGAGTTCGAATAATCCTTAAAAATAAAATAATAAAATTGCGCATTCGTGCCCGATTCACAAAATCACACATTGGGCATCTCAAGAAAACACAGTCAGATGAATAATGAATCCATAATACAAGTTCATATCTTGGTCTTTCCCTCGAGGACACGCGTATTCCTTGAGCAACCATCATTCACAGGTATTGCCGAAGGGTGATTTTCATTTCCATGCAATACGAACTCTTTTGCAAGTACATCGTGCTGAGTTAATCAATTTTTTAATCATGAGATGCACGATAATACATCATACTTCGTTCTAGATGTTAGGAACGGAAAAGACAACATTTCATAAAGGAAATACGTACTGTATTGTACTGTACTTTTGTCTGTCCAAACTTTCAACATGGTGGAACTGCTGCACATACTGTATTTAATTTGCCATATCAGAAAAAAACAGAATACGAGGAATGATACATAAAAAAAAATGCTAGGCTCTCTATGATTTTTTAAATGTTCATAGCAAAACGATCGATTGATTATAAAGTAAACAGTGAAATCCTGTGTCTCCAAGACATGTCTTAATTTGAGGACAAAGTTTTGAAGTTTGAAGAAGCCCTGAATGGGGAGGAGGCAACGCGCAGATGGTACTTCGCCAGACGGTGCATGAGGGACGGAGTACGTGAACACATGTCCATGTTCAAAGCACTGTAGTTTAATGCATAAAAATCCTGATCATCCCTGCCAAATGGTAGAGAATTTCAACCTTCTGAATGACTTTTTTTTTCGACATGGGGCGAAGTATTCGGATCATCTTCTAAGTATTGCACTTGGCCAAGTAACACCGGCGCATCAACTTCCCTGGTTTCTTGGCACAAACCTCTATTTGTAAATATTTTAGTTTACATTGTGTGACTTCAATTAGTCATATATTTTAATTCATATTTAGTAGTAACGAAAAGATCAACATTCAACACGCAAGACCCCTGATTTTTTAAATGGACATTCTTAAATATCACCAGCATATATGTGGGACATTCCCCATTTGTCACGCAGGAAAATCCATTTAGGAAAAAGTCAGTTTTGTGAGAATATTTGGTTCATAAATTTACAACCAGCTGAAAAAAAAATCGAGTGCTCACCCTGCAAAAAAATTTCAATTACTACAGGGATACATATGAATTATGATTGAATTAATGCGTATCCCTCTCTACCTTGTTGAAGATGAACTTGCAAGTGGAGTTGGAGAAGGGCAAGATGATGTAGGTGGTATTCAACTGAGTGGAACAACTTTGCAGTAACATTTACGTGAGAACTAGCACTTCTTGAAAGTGGTCCTAGCATCTTGTCACAATGCATCTACAGTAATGCAATTGAACCTCTCCGTTGAATTCCAAGGGACCAGCAAAAAAAAAACTTGACATAAGAGTTAAGGAGGATTCTCGTTCGGGAAACAAGTATTTTTGTTGTGGGAAACACAAAATGATTGCAGGGCATTGTAAATGGTGGTATTCTGGTCCTTGAATGAGTTGACAGGATGACAGCATACTGAATTGGGAGTTAATTTTACAAAATTAGGCGTTCACTTTCTTTCAAAGCACATCAATTTCCTTTTTATTTCTTTTCTCTTTCCTATGTTGAGAAAATAATAGCCAAAAGGTCTCAGAACATTCAAGTCACAGAGGTTTTAGAGGAAAAGCCTTTGTATTGGGGAGGTTTCCAATGAGTTGTTTCTAAAGGGAATTCATACAGGGACTTTGAATAGGAGAGGTTCTAGTTATGCATGTTCAACTTTAACAACGCATTTTTTCCTAGGTCCCAGCTGTTCGGCCAACATGTCCGAGTTTCGATGCAACGATTTTCCCCAAGTCACATGAGCTTCATTCTACCGAGTTTCTTCACTAAAATGGAGAAAAACTGTGATGGAAAATCCCTGCTCCGTGGATCTAAGAGGCACTGCGACAACACAGTCTCACTCGCGAAAGCAGCAGCACCAAAAGGTGATGGAGAAGGCAAACGGTTGCTTCGAGACGCTCCCGGCACGTGAAACTGTTTTCCGCCGAAGGGGTTGGCAGGTAGGAATCAAAACGCGAGGGGCGAGAGAAGCAGCGAAACCTGCCCCCGGTCCTCGGACCCAAGTCCGGGAAAAGTTCACACGACGGCGACGCGCGCAGGAATGCCGCTCTCAGCGCGCCGACTCGACGATGTGAAATCCCGGCACGCCGCTGCAGTCGACTCCACTTCAACTTTACTTCCCTTTCAGACTTGACTTCTCACTTCTCTTTGCGGCTTCTCTCATCCCGAGTGAGCTGCCGCGGCCGCGGATGAACCTCGACGAAGTGATGAGAAATTCGGTGAGATCCGAACTGGCGGCTCTCGCACGCGCTCCGGCTCGTCCGTATGCACCGCCTGGATCCAATTTCTGCGGAATTCGCCGGTGGCGAGTCGCCGGCGCTACTCGCATGCGCGGCTCGCACTGAGAAATAAACTGACTCCTCTTTTCGGAAAGGGAACCCGCTTCGGCTCACGAATCTCCCCACGTCTTGATGAGCAGGTGAACAAACAAACGGAGGCCCTCACTCGACGATGAATCCCGCAAACTTTGCTCCAGGTTCGCGTTCCCCACAATCAACAGTGTTTTGCTAGTCGCTTCGGTATTCATACACCGCTGATCCGAGAATCGTTGCATTTCACAACGTCAAATAGGAGCGGCTAGTTTTATGCATGATTTTTGCATGGGTAGATGGACGCAAGCTGCTCGGAATTTTTGTTTCCTCAAGCTTTTCCCGTTACACCTGTTGGATTTCTCAGCTGATGCTCCGCGGGGCCCAGAGGGTCCCTCCTTGCGTATACGAGGGGCTTCGGGCAATTCCGTGAAAATGACAGCATCATTACAGGAACGAAATTGGACATTGTAGTGAGAAACTGAGATTGAAAATACTTCAGGAGTCTCACTTCTGCAACTCGAAGATTAAGAAGAATACACGAAATATTCTCGGAATTTACAGAGCATTTCTGGCTACGCCATGAAAATCGGTTCTGAAATCGACTCCGTCAACGAAAATTACTTCAGCAAGGGCTCTGAGAGTTGATGAACTACAAGTACAGTACTGCATTGAAAATCGGAAGTCAACGAACTTGAATTCGTTGTAACCACATAATAAAACGACTGAAAATTTCCACTTGATCTCGATTTCCACCCTAAACAAGTTCCTTCTGGGATGATTCAATGAGATGTTAATTTTGTTGAAATTTACTTTTTTCGGACAGCGAATGCTGAAGATTTCAACAAGCTCTCGTGCTTGTTTGCGCCAGGGGCTTCCCGCTCTTGTTTTGCTTCTTTTGCGTACCGAAAAAAGGATGTGAAATGCAAAACTCAACTTTAATTCCAGCCTCGTGACGGAATAAATCAGAAACAGCATTTTCTACCGGAAAATATTCAATATAAAAAGAAACTCGTGAGGCAGGGTTACGTTGTTCCCGTGTGTATGCTACAATAACCACGGTATCTACTGGCTGTTTCCGTGCGAGAATAAGGATGCATGAAACAGTATTGCATTTCTCCTCACACTTTTTCAAATTTAAACATGATATTCGAAACAGCATTGATACTCGTATCAAGCTTTCGAGAATTGTCCGTTCACCCTGAGAGGGAACTGCGACATTTATAGCAGGGAGTCACACCGAATACCTTGTAATCTTTGAGCTTCATATTTTACCATACAAAGTTCATATAGCTGGTTCAAAGTTTAGAAAGATACCTGGAACGACACCATCTAAAATTTACTTGCTCTGTATCTGCGTTGAGAACAATATTGCTCTTTCATGCGCGGATTTATTCATTCAATCGAGCAATGCGCGTTTACTGAATTTTCAAAAATTATTTCTTGAAAACTAAGGATCTCAGAATTTCCTTTACGAATGACACACAAATTCCACACCCAAGTTCGAATTCGCAGAAAAACATAAGTTAATCACATCGTCTAGAAAATTACTACATCAATTTTCGGAATGAATGCGGATATAATGGCCTCGTCACGACAGATTCGTGATGCGAAACGTTAATGTGAAAGTCTAAAAAGTTCCATAGCAATATGCAATATTATTTTTAGAACACGGATTTATGGTATACTTATGCATTTCACTAACTGGTCGCGAAATTCTGGAGTGAAAATGAAATGACTTGCATGTGTTTATTGTAATTATAATTGCTTCCCGAAAAATTCTCTGCTATCGACCCTAGCTTTGTAAAAACGCTTCAAAAACTCCCTCATGCCATTGCCGAAAGTTCTTCTTCGTTAAAATTCGTTCATTGCATTATACAATAGAGTACTGTCATTTTTTTTTAATCTGTGAAACAAAATTTGTATATTGAGGCTGATGAACTTCGACTTTTTTTGGGATGGTTGAAAATACAAGGTGATGTCCGCGATGCTAAACTGAAAAATATGTATTTC